AATCTTCTAACGTCTTGGATACTAGAGAAAGAAATAGGAAGTTTGGTTGGTCTTGAATTCCAAGACTTTGTTGTTGTGAAACAGATATTACATTATAAGATTTTCATCTTTTATCCAAATGGATGTTGATTTCACTACCTGCAAAATCTTTGCTTCTGTTTGCTACATAAAGTTTCATCTTTAACATGATGACAAAATGTGTTGAGTAATGGTAACTTTTGGTCACAGGTGTTGGTGACACACTAGCTGAAAATTTTCACTTAATCTCAAGTGTTTTCTATAGGACAGGAAAAATGAAATGGAAAAGACATGGTTTTTGCCACTTCAGAAGATATTTTGATGTGGAATCATAATAATTCCAGAGATCTCTTGATGCCATGGCTAGAGGAAAATGGTTCTTGCAGCTGTTGCTGCTCCTATTATATATGGTGTGATCGATATTGGCCGGAGGTGTAAGGCTTCATTTAGAAGAGTGGTAAGATTACACTAGTGGCTCGGGGATGTAAGACTTCATTTGAGAGAGTGGTGAGATTACAATAGACTGAAAAATTCCGTAGAATCCAAATTAAACACGCCTTGGAAAACTAACAAAACATGAAATTAGGGTTTCATCTGAGAAGAAAAATTAGGGAATCTTGAACAGCAGAACTCGAAGGTAATGAATCAATGAGACAGTGGATCCACATCCATCCTTCAACCAAAAACCTCTAGAGAAATCAATGAGAGGAAATGAGGCAACATTGAAAAAAATGGGGGAAATCAGTCTTTGAGTTTATTGGGTTTGGGTAAAGAAACTGAACACAATGTTCGATATATATATATATATATATATATATATATATATATATATATATATATATATATATAGGCTTAAGATCTGGTGCAAAAGACTTTCTAGGTAAAAAATGGGGTGAGACTTAAGTCGTTGATCTAGACATCTAAAATAAAAAATTGATATAAGCTTCAATCTAATCATTCTCAGCCAAGCCCATTCTCCTTCAATCTCTTTGTGCGATCATTCTCTGCGCGATCATTCCCAGCCCGTTCTCATTCAATTCTACTGTGAATTCCATCATATTCCAAAATTCAATTCAATTCAATGATCTTGTGTATGTAAAAATTGTTTTGTATGGATGGATCCAATGCCTATAGCGTTCATCAGAGATCTTGAGCTAATCAAGGGGGTTTTGAACTGAAAGAAGGGACAATGTGTATTGAAAGAAAGGACAATATGCACTCGAAGAAGGAACAATGTGCACTGGAAAAAAGGAACAATGTGCACTGGAAAAATGAACAATGAGTACTTGAAGAAGGAACAATATCCACTTTAACCTTTACTGCACATATATATGCACAAGGAATTATATGTATTGCATATCTTGTAATAAACTAGAATGATTAAAGAATAATATTTAGAGTTGGATCACAATACCAATTTCTAATGTAATTGAATGAAATTATAATTTGATAAATGTTTGGTTATTGTGTCCAAGATGAACATTGGTTCTTGGATGGAAGGGAGAACAATATAAACTAGAAGAAGGAAACTATGCACTAGAAGGAGGGACAATATGTAGTGGAAGAAGAGACAATGTACACTAGAAGAAGGATCAATGTGCTCGTAGGTGTAAGGCTTCATTTAGGAAAGTGGTAAAATTACAATAGTGGCTAAGGCTTTATTTGAGAGAGGTGAGATTGCAGTAATGACGATAAAATTGGAGTGGAAGTGTTTGGACCAAGTGAAATTTGTGTCTCCCTTTTTTCCCATACCGGATCGGGAGTATTAGAAAGTGATTAATAGGTACAGGGCAAGGGCAACTTTGGAACCAATGGTTCCATCTCAACCACCCTGTTTATTTTCTTTAATTTAATTTTAAAGAAAAGTAAATATCTTTTAAATAAATTCTTCATTTTCATAAATTTATAAGGATGGTTATGGAGCAATGAACACATATTCTCTACCCTTGAGGGCTTGACCTTAACCACTCACCCCAATCCTTCTTCTCATCTTCGTCTTGGCATAAATTTTATTAGGGATAGAGAATTCTTAGAGAGGGTTATCTATTCTCAAATCTCAATATTTATAATTGAGCATACCCCTCCAATTTGGCAAGAATAATATCAAAATCAAGTTTGACATTTAAGAGTTATGTAACCATGGTGTCACATACAAATTGTGTTACTGTGTTAGACCTAATGAATGGACGGGTCAATTGGTTAGCTTGTCATAAAATGGGTAGGGGGAGACAATAGTGTCAAGGTCAGTGGGTCTTAGATGCTAAGGTCTAGCAGAGTTAGGTATACTGACCCGTAAGGGAGCTTGTCACTAGTCCTGGACTTGATTATGAAGGAGGCCAAAGCAATTCGAAGGGCACAACTAGTCGGGAGTCATTGCAGTTATCAGAGCCCATGACATGGTAAAACCAGTTTGGTACAATATATATAAAACACAACACAAATCCAAATACTAACCCCCCCTCCACCCCCAATCTAAAATGAATTCACACATCAAAATGGAAGCCACATGGAAAATAAACTAAAATCTAAATTAACACAAATGCTAGAACAATTGCACAAACAAAATTATGGAATTCACCATTTACCAACTCATTTGAAAAATAAAAATAAATAATGAATAAAAATTACCCGAGTGTTGTGACGCAGTCACCGATCTACCGGTGAGAGGCGTGAGCAAGAAAGGGCGTGATGATCCAACAAATTGGCGAAAGGGAAACAAAGGGGAGGATGCAACAATAGGAAAATAGCAAAATGGGAAATCGATGCCTGGAAAGGGATGTGCGACGATCAGGGAAACATAGAAGGGAAATGAATTAGATTACACAAATAAAACTACGAAATTTACGATTTACCAGTTCGTCTAAAACAATTAAAGAATAAAATTTACCACAATGTTGTGATGTCGTTGCCAGTGAGCAAGAACGAGTACAACAATCTAGCGAAGGAAAAGAGCAAAAGGGGAAATTGGAGTTTGGAAGGGGGCAGCGGCGCTCAGGAAAAAGTATAAGGAAAAAACCCTACGACACACACACATATATATAGAGGAGCGTGCTTAGTTGCTCACGTGATGACCACTCTCTGTGAGAGAACTAAAACGCAATCATAACTGTTCATTTGAAAAGATCTAAAAGTTCTTAAGTAATTAAAAAAAAAAATGTACTGACCCCATAAAAAGTATGGACGCATCACACCCTTCATCTTGAAAAATCAAAGACTAGGATCTAAGTTCGCAATAATTATAAAATGAATCCCGCTCTTAAAAGTTTTCAATAATATAAAATTGACCCCGTATTTTTTTTTATTAAAACCTTCAACCATTGATAAACTTCGATGGACAACTGGGATCAGTCATCACTTTTTACAGGAGGAGCTGAAAATCAATGAAAAGGAGGAAAATACGATGGTATTTTTATAATTTTCTGTAGTTACGATTGTGCATTTGAAAATGCTTTATGATGCAATTAGAAACTCTTGTGATGACATAAGGGAGGGTGATGAGGATGACATTAAGGAATTAGATAACCCAGGCACAACTAGAACATCAGACATTTTAAGAGGTTTAGAATAAGAAGACGGAACTAGTGCATGCCCAATATGGGTAATAGACAAACTTCGCTACTGCCAACTCGCAGCATGTTAGAACCGTGGTACAGCTCGGTCTCGGTCAAACCAGCTTCCGACGGCATAGCGTGATGCGATGCCCCAGTGTTTGGAAACCATGAGAGCGAGGACACTGACTCACCACCACCTGTTGATGACGCCGCCATGTTAGCCTGCGAAGGAGGATCAGAATAACTCCGGTAGCAGTGCACGGCAGAATGGCCGTGACTCTGGCAAATTTGACAGCGATGACCACGGCCACCCCCACGGGTAGACCGGCCGCCACAATTCCTCGCATTCCCGCGACCACCACCTCCTCGCTGCAACACCATCGCAGCCGGCTGGGAATCCGCCGCCGGCAAAAAGTCGTCGTTGCAAATGAACTGTTAGGCCAAGAGGAAATCCGACAATTGAGATATAGTCACCGGCGTACCTGTAGTGACCAGCAAAGAGGCCATGATGCGAAACTCCGGGCGCAACCCCCAGAATACATATAGATTTTGCTCGTCTAACGAGACCAGACGGCCGGCCATCGCAAGTTCCTCCACGATCACTTTCGCACGCCCTAGATAATCTGCCGTCGTGCTATCTCCTTGACACAACCCCTGCAATTGGCTGAGAAGACCTAGCGTGCGAGCATGAGTGGACGAACCGAACGCCCCCTAGATAGCCTGCCAAACCAACCGCGACGTGGAGTGCCCGACTGCGAGGTACATGACCTCTTCCGACAGCTACGCCACTAGCAATGATAGGATGGTCTGGTCTTGCTGAACCCAGGAGAGAGCCGCCGGATTTTTTGTCATCACGGAGGCGCCGTTGGGCAAGACCTCCACCATCGGCGAAGGGCAAAGGTGTGTACCGTCGACGAAACCAAGTAAGCCCTGGCCATGAAGGAAATGAACCATTTGGGTGTGCCAGAACTAATAGTTCCTGGAGGTGAGCTTGATCAACACGAAGTGGTGTGCCGACGAGAGAGACAAAGGAGCCACTGCCGGCAAGGTGGAAGATGGCGACCCTACGGTGGTCGTACGTTCGGAGGAAGCTTCAGAGGTCTGGGGAACAATTGACGCCATCACCGGGGATCGTATTTGGCGTATGATACTAGATGAGTGAATCGATAATGTGTATTCAAGATAATAGTGAATCACAATACAACGATAGAAATACTGATAGGATATATCTAGGAGAGAGAGTCCTAATGAGACACAAATACTCAAACCTAAATATTATCCTATTACAGGTAGTGCCTTCTGTGCACTCAAAGCATTTCCAAATGCATTGTCAAACATTTCTAAATGCACAATCTTAATGACCCAGGGGAGGAAGATGATGAGAATTAGGCAGTGCATTCTGTGCATTGTCAAGCATTTTAAAATGCACAGTCAAACATTTCTAAATGCACTATCAAAAATTTCTAAATGTACAATCCTAACGACACAAGCTAGTCCCTTGTATTCTGCTTCAGTTGAGGAACGCGCAACAGTCCGTTGCTTCCGACAAACCCAAGATATAAGATTACTGCCCAATAACACAACAAAGCCACTAGTAGACTTGCGATCATTCAGATCACCAACCCAATCTAAGTCAGAATAAGCGTGAATATCCATAGATGTAGACCGAGAAATACGCAAACCAAGATTCAGGGTGCCTTTGACATACCGCAGGACTCTTTTTAGAAAGGCCCAGTCTGTAGTAGTGGGAGAATGCATGTGTTGACACAAGAGATTAACAGCATAAGATAAATCAGGACGAGTTACCATAAGATACTGGAGAGCACCTGCAAGACTCCTGTACTGTGTAGGATCGGCATAGAGAACGGCAACTTTATCAGTGACGGGCGTGACTATTGGCTTGCAGTCCACCATGCCAGCACGTTTGAGAATATCCTTCGTGTACCGTTGTTGTGATAAAAGCATACCGCCAGATAACCGGACAGTTTCAATACCCAAAAAGAAAGGAGGCACACCCATATCACGAACCTTAAACTCAATGGCTAATTTATCAATAAGAACAGTAACACGATCTGAGTCAGGACCCATAATCAAAATGTCATCAACATACACCAAGAAATAAAGACGAATATTGTCACGAGAATAGATAAAGAGAGACACATCCGTCTTTGAAGGCGAGAAGCCCACAGAGACAGGAACCAAGCACGCGGGAGCCTACTTGAGCCCGTATAGAGATTTTTTAAGCAAACACACATGATCAGTTAACGACTTGTCCTCATAACCAGGCGGTTGTCGCATACAAACAGTCTCAACTAGCTTACCATTTAAAAAAAATGTTGTGAATATCCAACTAGCGAATAGTCCACCCATGAGATACGGCTAAAGATAAGAGAAGGCGTCCCGTAGTGGGCTTAACCATAGGACTAAAGGTCTTAAAAAAGTCTTCTCCAGCAACCTGATTAAAACCCTTGGCCACCAACCTAGCTTTGTGACATTCTATTGAACCATCGGCCTTCCGTTTGTTGAGCCATTAATGTGCAATCCAACTATCAACTTAGGCTTTTAGTTGAGATTGAGCACATGCTTCAATTTGGTATCAGAGCCAGAACAAAGGTCATGGGTTCGAATCTCACCGCTACCCATAACTGTTAGCTTAGGCTTTTAGTTGAGATGGAGCACATGCTTCAATTCCGTTTGGTTCTGAAAACCCACTTGCAACCAACAACATTCATACCTGGTTGAAACAGAACAAGACGCCACGTATGATTATGGACCAAGGCATTGAACTCCGCGTCCATCGCATCACGTCACTCAGGAAACTTGACCGCCTGAGAGTAACAAGTAGGCTCAGGTGCTATGGTAGAAATAGTGGTTAAGGCGACATGTTGATGCGGACCCGAGCTACGAGTGTTCATAGCATGCGACCGAGGAGGAGGAGTGGCTCGCTGAGGACGTCCGCACTGCTCAACCTGCTGGTCCGAGACAGTCTGCTCACTCGATGCGGACTACTCGGGACCATTATCGTTACCATCGCCAGAAGCCTACAGGGGCTCATTCGACAGCCGAGTGCCATCAATAACCGTGGCCAAGACACCACTACCTCGGCACGTCACAACCGGTGCAGCAGCCCAAGGTTCGGATCATGGTCTAACAACCTGCGAGGCAACAGGAGAAACAAAGGGAAACACAGTCTCATCGAATCGCACGTGGCGACAAATAAAAACCTTGTTAGTGTTAGTATCCAAACAGCGGTAGCGACGATAAAACGGAGGATAACCTAGAAAAACACAGGGAGATGAACAAAACTAGAGTTTATTGCGATTATATGGACGAAGGACATGAAAGCACAAACAACCAAATACTTGCAAGTAAGAGTAGGACGGGGGGTGCAAACGAAAATGAGGAGACTCATCAGACAGAACACGAGTAGGCATTTTATTAATTAGATACACAACAGTTTCAAAAGCATAGTCCCAAAAACGAGACGGTACAGATGCTTGAGCAAACAGCTCTGTCTTAACAACATGACGATGCCTGCGTTCCACTCGACCATTCTGCTCGTGAGTATACGAACAGGATTGCCTGTGATGAATATCTAGCGAAGCAAGAGTGGAACCAAGCTTTTTATATTCTCCCCCTAAATCAGACTGAAAAGAAATAATCTTGCGAGAAAAAGAACGTTCAACAAGTGACCGAAACTTATCAAATATAGCATACAAATCAGACTTTGCACACATTGGATAATACCACATATAACGAGTGTAATCATCCACAAACAATACAAAATATTTAAACCCAGTCGCAGAAAGTAATGGCGCAGGGCCCCATATATCTAAATATATTAATTCCAAATGATGCGTACTAGTAGTTTCAACATGAGATAAAGGAAAACGAGAAGATTTTTTCAATTAACAAGAGGAACATACATTGGGAAGATCACTAGAATCAAATGTACTAACAGACGAAGATGCTAGAATTTGACACAAGACTCGAGAATGAGGATGCCCCAATCGCATGTGTCAAACGTAAGAGGATCGCGTAGCAACAAACGCAGCAGGGGAGGCAGAAGACGCAGGCCATGTGTAGAGAACTCCAGACGCATGTCCCTTAAAAAGAACCTTCTTGGTCAAAATGTCTTTCACATAGAAACAAAGAGGGTGAAACTCAAAGAAAACATTATTGTCTTTCGCAACGCTGAACAGATAATAAAGAAGAAGAGATACCAGGGACATGCAAAACATCATGCAACTTAAGCGACCTAGAATCAGTGGCTAACGAAGCGGAACCAACATTAACAATAGGCAAACCTGTACCACTGCCGACTCGCAGAGTTTCTGGGCCATCATAACTTGTCGCGGAAGCCATCAAGGATGAATCAAGGGTACCATGATTCGTAGCACCAGTGTCCGGGAACCACTCATGAGGACCGCTATGGTCACTATTCTCACTAGAGACAGCTACATTCGCCTGAGGAGCCAGGGGGGTTGAGAAACGATGCCAACACGAGAGAGCCCCGTGTTCTTGTTTGTTGCAGATTTGGCACCGAGAACCCGTGCCCGAGCCACGGCAGCGACCACGTCTGCCGCCGCCTGAGCCTCGACCGCGACCTTGCTGCTGTGTCACGTTGCCACGGTCACCATGACTAGGGGCCGCACCGCCTCAGCCAGCAGCCATCGCAACCGACGGGACGCCGCCGACTCCATCGCCAGCACAAATCCACTCCTGTGACACCAAGAAATCCGCCACCTCTGCAAGCGGGACCGCAGCACCCCGAGCCAGGGTTGCCACAAGCGGACGAAACTTAGACCGCAAGCCACGAATGACGTATAAGTTCTGATCGTCTAACATAACATCGTGACCGGCAAGAGCTAGATCATCAATCAACAACTGTGCACGATCAATATAATCTGTGATGGAGGAATCACCGTGCGGAAGGGCCTGCAACTCACCGAATAACCGCAACGCCCGAGAACGCGAGGAAGAGGCGAGAGATGGTTCGATGATGAGCCAGAGTTGCCGTGGAGTAGGCATGACCACGGTTCGAACGAAACTGTACATTGTTGACCGGAATCGGAACCGAACCGTCCATACGGTTCCGGTTCTGGTTCCGGATCCTAATCGGAACCAATATGGTTCCGGGTTAAGGTTCGAGATGACAAGGAACCGGAACTGGCAGTTCCAGTTCCAAATCGAAAAAAATTAAAAATTATAGTTCTTTTTTATTATTTTTTAAAATAAATCCGGTTAGAACCGGCGGTTCCAACCAGAACCGTCGGTTCTGAACCGGAACCGGAACCTTACTATAAGGTTCCTTACTATAAGGTTTCGGTTCCGGTTTATCCATTTGCGGAATCGGAACCGCGGTCACCCCTACCGTGAAGTAGAACGACCAACGGCGGACCGCATCGATGAAGCCGGTTTGTCCATTTGCCTCCTCCAAGCCACTTGCCGAGCCACGAGTTCACCCGCCACCGCTAGACTGTCGGCAGTCAAAGCAACGGCGTCGGCGACAGCGACCGGCACTGTGACCGGGTACGGTATACTACCATCGATGAAGCCGAAAAGACCTTGACCCTTCTAGAAACGGTAACATCTGCGTCCGCCAAAAAAAGATAATTACGGGAGGTCAGTTTCAAGGAAACAAAGTAATGAGCCGATGAGAGGCTATTCCCGGTGGGCATAGGGGAAGTCTCGGTAATGGTCCGTTCAGAAGATCGAACAGAGCCATCATCAGGGAGACCGAGACCTTCCATTAGAGAAAACCTGGAAGTTGATACCAGATGAGAATGTATGTAAAAGTATTGTATTCTATCATAATGTCTGAGAGTACAGAGAACAAATATATAGATACTAGATAATGTCCTAGTCTAACACGAATAATATAGTCCTAGTCTAACACAAATAATATAGTCCTAGTCTAATATGAATAATATAGTCCTAGTCTAATATGAATAATATAGTCCTAATAAAAATCAAGTGGTGACTTTCGTGCACTGTCAAGTATTTCCAAATGCACTGCCAGACATTTCTAAATACACAATCGTAATGACATGAGGATGAATTTGATGGTGAAAATTACAAAATGTCACCGCATTTTTTCCCTTTCATTGATTTTCAACCTTTGGTCTTATTTAGATGGACGGACCAAATTCATCTAGACGTCTACACCTAGGATGTGGTCCACACCTAAACGACAAATTATTCTGTGGATCCGTGTCCACTTTGCAAGATGGACCCAAATCTAAAAATAAACAATTTATATACTGAATGTTCACAATTTACATATTGAATGTTCACAATTTTACATACTAAATGTTCACAATTTTAATTATGAACATTCAGTATATAAATTGTGTATTTTGAATCCAGTTTCACCTTGATATAAGTGTTGCACCTGGCCCTCTATATATATATATATATATATATATATATATACCACAATCACATCAAAATAAAATAGAACTTCGTAGTTGATCACGCAACATTATGAAAACAAAAAATAGTAATGTTGAACTCCAAAGTATATCTTGATCCATTAAATTTTTGTAATCGCAAGCTTAATGATTGCAATAACGATGAGAACAATAGTTCTAGAAATAATCCTATTATTAATTAATCTAGGGAGAAGTGTTAAATAGGCTCATGTACTATTGTCAAGTGCTTAATTCCCACCATGAACTAAATTAAAGGCTAATTAACCACACTTACCTACTAAATTTGTTCAATTAACTTTGTTTGCAGGTAATTGACTTTTTTTTTGCAGGTTACCAATTCAATTATTTAAAAAATAATTTCAAAATTATTTAAAAAGAAAAAAAAAAGAAAAAAAAAAAAGAATGCAGCCATCGACTGTCCTCGCCGGACAGCCGATGACTGCCATTTCAAAGACAGCCGTGGCTGTCCAGCGAGGACAACCGGTGGCTGTATTGTTTTATTTTATTTTATTTTATTTTATTTATTTTAATAATTAAATAGGTAACCTGTTATTAACCTGTAAAAAAAGTCAATTGAACAAATTTAACTCGTAGATGGACCTATTTGACACTTAATTTAGTTCGTGGTGGAAATTGAGCACTTCACAGTAGTAGATAGGCCTATTTGACACTTGTGCCATTAATCTATGATGATTTGAAGTACAGGATGAAGAGATGCATTTATAATAATACAAAGAGTCTCAATTAGGAGATGCATTTATAATAATACAAAGAGTCTCAATTAGGATAGAATGTCTAACTCGATCATGTCTTAGCGTTTAAGACAAAACAATCCTTAATGCTATTGTTGCCCCTTTTACCCATTTGGCAAGTCACACAAAACAGTCTATGACATTCTCCGCCATCTAAAATATATCACGTCCTCGTACTAGGGGAGAAGGACTCGGCTCAAGGATCGTTGTACTATACTACCTACGCGCCGCATCGCCAAGACCGCTCCTGCAAAGCAATCCGACTAAGTTGGCAGCCAGCTCCTACAGACCACCGAGGTGGAGCCGTCGTCAACACGTGCACCCCTTGAGGACCCCACCATAGCGCGCAACAATATAGGTGCGTCTGGTTCTAATACCATATGAGAATAATAATTTGAAAATAATCTTATTATTGATCAATTCATGATGATTGGAGAATAAATTCTAGTGTCTAGACTCTAGAATACAGAAACATAATAATAAGATCACGATAACTAAATAACCAACATGCAAAGAGTATGAATAACCAAACGATGAACACAATAAAACCAAACAAATTTACTCTAATCCAAACTCTAAATCGCAAAGAAATTTTTTTTTCATAACAAATTTGCATACCTTGATCCATTAAATTTTTCTAATTGCAAGCTTAAATAACAAGACCACATCAACTGAATACCTAACATGTAAAGTATATGAATAACCAAACAATGAATACAGTAAAATCAAATAAATTTACTGTGATTGCAAACCTCTAAATCACGAAGAAAATCTTCATATTTCAATGGATAATCACAACACTCAAAGAAAATTGAGGAAAAATTGAGAAGGAAAAAACAAAAGAAAAGGAAACGGATTCCCTATTTGGCCTAACTGGTCCAAGGGCAATGATCATTCTTAGATACTTGTGAGTGACTAATGCAATTATATATTTATTGTAATAAAAAATCTATATTTCAAAGTATGTATTATGGAAAACGATACTCGCAATAATGCTTACTCTATAAACAAGTGATCACTGGGCATGGTAATTTTCCTGGCAAAACTACGTACAAACTTAAAACAATATGTTGAGATACAGGATAATCCAACCGGCCATTGAGAAAATAGCAAAGATATGAACCCAAAACAGGACAGCAGCTGCCTCCCTCCCACACCCTCTCAAATTTGCAACCGCACCTGTGTGGAAGTGAAGAAAGTATAAATGGCGATGGAGCGATGACTAGTCACGATAATATTTTTAAAATTGGAAGGGACGTTTGCCAAGCAACACGGGAACATAGTCCACATATAACTGTGTGTTTATTAGTTTTATATACGAGTTAATATCATCTGAGGTCCTCCGAGTATTGTGGTTTTGCCACGTTTAGTCCTAAACTTTCAAATTGACCATTTATGGTCCTTCGACTTTCAAATTTAACCATTCGTGGTCCAAGTGAACCACCCATGGTCCTTCGACTTTCAAATTTAACCATTCTTGGTCCAAGTGAACCACCCATGGTCCTTCAAGTTTCAAAATTTAACCAGTCGTGGTCCTCTTAAAAGGACCATGGTTGGTTAAAATTTAATATTTGAAGGACCATGGGTGGTTAACTTGGACCACGGATGGTTAAATTTGAAAGTCGAAGGACCACAGATGGTCAATTTGAAAGTTTAGGACTAAACGTGGCAAAATCACTATACTCGGAGGACCTAAGATGGTATTAACTCTTTTATATACATTATACTCAACAAAAGAGAGTTTTGGAAAGAGCTTTACCGGAAAGCACGGATGTGGGCATTGTATGCTGGAGGAGGAGGACGAATCTGAACATCTTGTCACCGGCAGGAAGGAAGCCGAGTTTATCAGCCAACATGACGATTCCAAGTCCAGTTGGAGGAACTAAAACCAGCCGACCAAATATGATTGCAGCAGTTGTCCGTAAACCAAGTTTTGAACTTCCTGGACCTGCAGATTTTGACAATAAGTTGGTAATGGTGGTGGGAGTGATGTAGTATAGCAGAAGCATACTAATTAAGCAGAGTTGGCTTTACCTTGAACAAGATTGCCTCCTAATGCCAACAATATGCAGGGAATCATGGCCTCCCTGATAACGAGAGACAACAAATTAGACTCAGAATTTCGTAAAGTTTACTTCCAAACCACAAAAGGAGACAATTGGACCATCAGACATAGGGATGATCAATGATCAGGAATAGGGAAACAATAAACCAAAGGTGAAAGTAAAGCAACGACAAAATGAGTCTAAACATACCCAAGAATCATGCAGCTGTCAGTGAAGAAGTAAAATGGAGCATCTGAAGTGAAGATCAGTTTCTTGAAGAATGGAACGCATCCTAGGAAAATGGCAAGAACCTGTTGAAAAGATAGCAGATTTAGTATTTTAGTGGTTATAAGGCCAGAAATGATAAATGACCTTGGGCGGAAAATAAAGGAGACAACCCACAAAGCACACAGAGGACGGAGGCATTTAGAAGACTAGTCAGCTAAATGTTGAAAGTTGCATTATAACAAGTTGAAATACATCCCCTTAAGGTGGGGAAGAACTCAGTAGTTTCGTGACAAAAGCCTTATTTAAGCCTGAAGCCTTATTCTATGATTCCATCAGTGCTGCTGAGAGTACAGCTACCTTATTTAAGCTTGAAGCCTTATAGTCTGATCTTGTCTTAAATATATGACAATGTATAATTTGAAAATCCCAAAGCTATGGAGCATAAGATAGACAAGTAGAAACTTAGCAATTCCACTTACCGAAGCAATTATGGGGGGTTGAATGATTTGCTTGAGCTTCAATTTTTCATACAGAAACTTGAAGAACTCCTTAATCTGCGTGAAAATCAAGCAATGAATTCTGATGATAAGTTCAGAAGTATAGTCAAATTAATTTACTGCTAATTCCTGAAAAGGGAACAGTTAACAACTGCATAAGGCTCAACGAGTTCATCCATTATTGCAATATGGACATTAACTCCAAAATACCAAATTTTTAAATAGTTTCCTATTCGAAGTAGATTTATTCATCTCTAATTTTTCATACATGAACATAATGACCAGTGTCCAGTTCTACAGAACAGCAAGACACATTGGGTCTATTCTCACCTTATTTTTCTGTGAACTAGTTGACACAGGAACTGCAGGCTCCTGTGCAAGCAATGGAATTTGCTCAGGGGAGCTATCCTTTGCAGCAGCATGGGAGCTATCTCTATTAGGAGCCTTCATTGGAAGGTGGCCACCATCTTCAATGTCAAAGGTACCTTCAGGAGGAGGTGCAAGCATATTGAATACGTAGGTGTACAGGACAATTGCACCAACCTAAGTTCAAAAGTGAACAGTTACATTGTCAGTTCCTTCCCCACCCCTTCTCTACTTGGGTGAAAGACCCAAAACAGAACCCATAACTCATATTTTCCCAAATTGATGGTAGTTAAAGACAACGCATAACTTTCATAATAATAGCAGAAAGTTTGAATTTTTGTATAAAGTTATAGTTTTAGAAGCTGAAATTCTATTTATATATACACAGAAACAATTAAACTTTCTCCACAAGCTGGGTGAACTGGTATTTTTGAGAAGGTTTCCAGAATTTTGAGTTTGAATAGCTTGAAGAAAAAGACACAATAAAGTATGAAGGCACTGGTAGTGAAAAACAACATACCCATTGACCAAATGAGATGTATGCATTTCCATCTTGAGAGCACTTATTAGAGTCACCGAAAGGATTTGATTTATCACGGCATAATGCTGCAATGAGAACAAGTGGTACATTTCCAATATTCCCTACAGATAAATGCACGGACTTTGGGTAAATTTTAGTAGCAATAAGTTGCAAAAAACATTGTCTACTGAAAATGATGCAATTTATGTAAAATCCTAATCAGGCATTATAAGGCTAAGACCGTTCCAGTCATCATTTCTTCTATTTCATCATAACTTCAATAAGACTAGTTCCCAGTCATATCATATGCCATCTGCTGACAATAAGTACATAATAATTCAAAAAAAAAATAAAAAAATATTATGATTTAAAAGATCTGGCCAGTTATAGATTTTCATGCAAACACTCCTGCAAAGCTCTATTTTAGAAAAATTCAGAACACCCAAAACTATACATAAACAATCAAGGAGGCTACAGAATACGCTTCTAAACTGCAATGTCACTCATGATACTGACTTACCTATTCCAATTTGTATAATAGTAAACTTGAAAAATGGATACGGTGGACGGACGATTGTTGCAACAACTAGACCTATTATGGAGCCTGATATTGTGGCAATGACAACATTAACAGGGATAAACCACCTGGCAAAAAGCAAAGGATATCATTAGATAAGTTCAACACCAAAGTTCCCATAAAAAGATCAGAATCATCACCACTGAAGCATCTTCTCGAATGTGATTGCTTGCCCAAGTTGAGAGAATATCAGGCATGGGAGCAATAGTGAAAAGACCAACTGCATGAAGTTTCATTTATATTAGTCAGTACTTAGCAGGCATATAGAACTATGATCATTAGGATTTTATATACACACACACACACTCCAAGATGAGGAATTTTAAAGCAAATACTGAGAACATGAAATTGAAACATCCTAAAGATACCATGAAAAAGAAAAGCAGTTCCATAATAAACTATTCACATTTGGGAATTTACATCAAGCTGGTTCCTCGTCATATCTAACCCTGGACACTCTTTCAAACCAACCTAAACATAGATCTAATCCTCAATATCAGACTAGCCCATTAACAAGCACATTCTCGTAGCACCGAGATATGGAATATAGATCCCACTAGATTCATTCGACTAAGTTACAGTTTCAAGAAGTAAATCAAGAATGAACAGCGATCAGTGTACTTCAATCTACACTTGAGAGTACTTACCCCATTTAAAAGCTTTCTTCCATTTGCAGGCAAGATATTAACATACTTGGAAGCCATGAGAAATCCCAGGAAACACATCGTGAAAACTTTAGCTATAGGTAAGACTGCAATCTTGATAGAACCAAGCAAGGATGTCCCTCCACCTTGAGATTCTGTGAGAATCTCCATAAGCAACCTCTGCACCCTATCCATCATACTATGAAAAAATCTCTTAAACTCTCCCTAAGATGAAGTAATTGGCTTTCCCGGTCACCCGAGGGGAAAAGGACCTGCTCTTAGTAGTAAGCCACCAGAAACAATTCGCATACAATGTTCTCCAATCAAAACAACTGAATCCCAAACAGCTCAGATTCTTCAGCCCAGAAACGCCAGATACTCCACCACCTAACTGAAACGCAATAATGAAACAACACGACAAGCCAATGAAAAAACGAAGCATAAATAATATCACTCGATTGCATAAAAGCTAATGATGCAATTATGTATATACTCAGATTCAAGAAACATAAAAGATTACAGGTAAAAAAAAAAAAAAAAAAAATTAAGAAAACTAAACAAAAAAGTTAACAGAAGAATCATCATCATTATATTTTAAAAAAAAAAAATTAAAAACGGAAAGAGGAGCGGAATTGATCGTGGATTACCAGTTAAAAGAGCCAATAATTGGCTCGTGTTTAGTTTCTGGAGCAATAGAAAATTAAAAAGAAAAAAAAAAGTTATTTACCCTTTATCCCCGTTAATACGTAAGGTCTTGGCGAAAAGACTGGAGACGAATCTCGAATACTTGAGCTGCGGTTGGGACGATGAATTGAGTCATCACGAAGCGCTGTGGACTATATATTTATGTACCCGACAGCGACAATAATTGAAGCATCAACTGTCGTGTCCCTACTCCGTATTATACTATACTTCTTCTTCTTCTTCTTCTTCCTCCTACTCCGTCTCGGTGGCCCGGTTGAACAGTTGCGGTAATTATTTCCCGGCAACGGAGTTACGATTTAACTGCCGTACGGACGGCGGTGGATTGGGTTGCAAAGTGCGTACGGATACGTTTCTCTCACCTGAAATTTCCACTGGAGAAGGGACGTTTAGTTTGAATGAATTATGGGGGAAATAAAATTGTAATTTGGTGAGAGTAAAGTATGGATTACACCTGTATGAGGGATACGTGTTTCATGGGGTTGGATCAATATGTAAATATAATACTAAATTTCATTTTGTTTCGACCCGTTTTTAAAGATTTGTGAGAAAGTTTCACACAAGTTTTTGTCTAATACTAATAATAACAAGGGTCAAAAATTTATTTTCTTTCTATTTTCTCTTTCATTTCCTCATTGAATTGCAATTCATATGGGAGAGGATATGAATTGCAATTCAACAAAATGAGAGATTTGTAATTCGGTGGAATTGCAATTTCTTTAAATCAGACACTGTAATTCGAGTGACAAAAAATTATGTTGTAATTGAATTGCAACTATATCCAACCAAACAACCCATGAAGAGTGAGGACGCATTGACTCCAGAGTTTAGCCATTTGGCTCTGCGGTTTCCGTTAAATCCAATTTTAGGTGATAGGTACATTTCTCTCTACCAAACTCATCACACATGGTTTTCTTATAACTTTTGAATTTAAATCTATGGGTTTAATATTGTTTTTAATATAATTGGACTCCTCGTGGAGTCGTGAGTAACTTCAATTGAATTGATCAAATAATTGTTTTGGTAACAAATTCTAAACAACTTATGTTAAATTATCTTTTTGTTGTCCTTTTTTTATTAGAATTACTAGGCGATCTTCATCAAAAATATAAATTTACAGAGTTTCTCATAAATAACAATTACGGACTTTCTCATCATAGACAACAATTACAGACTTTCTCATAAATAAAAGTAACATACGCATTATTGTAAAGAATTTTTATTTCTTTTTAATAGATAATATTTTGAAAAATATTATGTATACTCTTATTCTTTATTTTTAATTTTTATTCCACATTTAAATTTTGATATAGACACTTGTGATGGAATCCACGTGAAAAAATAATTTATCGTGACCCACCATATTTGAGAAGGATTGAGAATACATATTGAAAAACTCTAATTTTTTAGATAGAATTTTACTAAAATTCAAATTTGAAACAAAATTATTGTTATTTAAATTGTAATTAATCAAAGCAAACTACATAGATGCCGTTTAGTGTTAATAATAAAATAATAATGATACGACAAGTACAACATAATAATAAGTTATAAATTTCAATTGAAAATTGTGTCAATATGTTAGGCACGACAACTACAGATTAAAAAAATTATGTTATTGAGGCAAACTCCATCTACGTGGGTCGAGTTGTTTGATTAATAATCACAATATTTTAAAATTGATCTCAATAAAAATAGTTTATTAGTCTTCTCAATTTGAATCGATCAACTAATGATAACAATTTCAAGGTTGTATCAAATTTTAAGTGGTCGCCTTTTTGTTTTGTGACAAAAATGTGGAATCGCTCACTCCAAGAGTTCTCATGTGACTCAACAAACCAATATATGCTAAATTTTTGTTCTTTGTGTACAATGAACCCCTAATTTTGAAAGATTACTTTCATACTGTTACACTGATAAGGCTTAATTATTTAATCTCTTATTATAAATTACCATGTGATTAGTTGAGCTGCCTATGCACTCGCTTTTGTTTTCATAGAGAATTACCGCTTTCATCACATGGAGCTGCCATACTAGCTTTATGTCAATGAAAACAACCACCATCCGTCAAATCAACAATTGGTGGCTATTTTCCTCCCAAATGCTCTTTCAGATCGGGGTGTGGGACATCCTTAGGGTTGGGGTTCAGCCTTTTAGAAAAACAATTGGACCTATTTAAAAAAAAATTATAAAATTATAAATAAAAAATAAAATAAGTTTACACATAAAATTTACATAAGCATAGAATGTAATGTAGCCTAGTTAGTATTATATAATTATTGTAACTTGCGTCAATAGATAATAATATAATTTAATTACATTATTTTATCATTTTAGAAATTTTTATTGAAACTTTTTTTTATCATAAATTAATTACATTATTTTGGACTTAAATGTATTCCTAAATTTTACTTTCTAATATGGTGGATTTTAACAAAATTACGAAGTATATTTTTTTTAGTCTCAATACAAATATTTACATCAAAATTTCACATATAAAACTAAAAAATTGAGTTGTGTTATTCTGCGGGGCCATGGTTTTACGAAATTTCACGCGCCTACTCAAATTACTTTGTTTTGATTTGAGATCTGAACCTGACTTGAGGGGCCATGAATCCATGATTTCACGAATTGAATAATGTGTTCAGATAAATTGGACAAATTATACCATGACCAGGGCCTACTCTACGATGTAGATTTGGGTCTACAAATTATTAAGTTATTTATTTATATGTCAAAATATAAAATTTGAAGATTATTTTATTTGATCAGCATTTACAATATAAGATAGACCTTAGTTCATGGTAGAATTTATTTCGGTTTAAACTCCCGACTTTTATTAAAAGATGAGTTAATATCCAAAATGGTCCCTTGACTATGTCATAATTATCAATTTGGTCCTCAACTATCATTCTTACCCAATTAAGTCCTCAACTATGTAACTTTTACTCAATTAAGTCCTCAACTATACAATTCTTACCAAATTTAGTCCTCAACTATATAATTCTTACCCAATTTAGTCCTCTGTATTAATTTGACTGTTTGTTGACTGTCAAAAGTCGGGATAAAATTATAATTTTACAAGATTTCTCCTTCCTCTCCATTTAGCAGCGCCAAACCATGCAGCAATACACTTCGATCAGATTTCGATCGTCAAAAAATCGTTGGAAATCAAATTCATGGGCTATCCGATGCATAACCACTACTTCGATACTGACAGGTTTAGAACCCAACCGGAGCTTATTGCTACATGGTTTGGCGCTGCTAAATGAGGAGAAAGGAGAAACTTGTAAAATTACAACTTTATTTCCACTTTTGACAGTCAACAAACAGTCAAATTGACAAAGGACTAAATTGAGTAAAAATTGTATAGTTGAGGACTTAATTGGGTAAGAATGATAGTCAAGGACCAAATTGGTAATTACGACATAGTCGAGAGACTATTTTAGGTATTAACTCTTAAAAGATAAGAGTGCATGACCATTTACGCCAACCAAACTGGTTAAATAAATAATTTCTTATAAAATATTTTTCATATTTTCAAACTAACCTTAAATCTAATTATCATATCGAACACTTGCATAAATTTAAACTAAAAAAAAAAAAAAAAAAAAAAAAATACATGCAAGAGAATCAAAGTTTGATATCTGTCTATATCTCAAGTCAGGCAAGAAAGGTGGAGGAAATATGAGATGAAAATGATAGGGGAAAGCCATCCAGCAAGGGAAGGGATTTAATTAGAAGACAAGTTGAAACTTGCAAACAAAATTAAAAAGGTTTGAAATATTTGGTTGCACGCATTTGCAGTATTATTTAATGCATTTTCTGTGAAATTTCTGGGAAGATGACAACATCATATATTCATATCATCTGTTTCACTGTTTGGCTTGCATTTATTGCCTTTTAATATATTTCTTTCATCACCTACTGCTCAGATCAGAAGTCACTAGTCAGTACCATCAGGCATCACCCAATCCAAATGTCTAGCATTTCATAATTTCTTTTATATGTATTATTGGACCACATTATCATAGCAAGTGAATTTTATCTATTTTTTTTTTTTAAAGTGAGATGAATTTTTGTTATGATTCAGATTTCAAACTGGTCAGGATCTTATGATCCAATCTTAGGTACATGGTGAGGTAAATCGAGTCTGGTCGTTGAGATTCACATATAATTGTACACAGTACACTCCTGCACACAAGAAGTCCAACTCAATCCCACAACTTAGAGAGTCCAACTCCAAAGTGTCTATGGTCACAAATTATTCTGTGGACCCGCGTCCAAATGTTCACAATTTACGTTTTAAAAATTCAGAATTTATAATCTACAAACACACAATGTTAACATATATGTAATTAATTGTCTTGTTTTGTATTTCAAATAATGCAGTCACACAATATTAACATATTAGGATTTGATGACCCCTGTATTGTATTCACAAATTTTCTTCTACAGCTGTTATGTATTTTGACTTAGATTAGAAACACAATTTATATGTTAGAAGTTTACAATTTCAATACTAAAAATTACACAATTTATATAAATTGTTTAAGGAAAGGTTCACCTTTCAGGCTTTCAAGATGGACCATGATCCATGACATAACAACTTGTCTATGGTAGAGTTCAACACCATCATTATACCATAGATCATGATCGATCTTGTGAGGTGGACTACTGATATAAAGTTCATTTTTAATATATTAAATATTTATTTTTTGTATACTACCAAATAATGAACATTCAGTACACACAAAAATAAACATTCATAATAAATATTTATACATGATTCACATTGCAATATAAATCATAATCATAACTATAATACTCCCCAACTTTAATCTAAGGAAAATGTAATGTGTTATTTTCTACTTCTAATTTTACTTTCACATATAAAATCTTGATGTAAACACTTATATTGAGATTCATATAAAAAAGAAGTAACTTATCAGAGTCTGTTACATTAAAAACTAAAATTGAGAGAGTAAGATTTAGAAGTACATGCACGAAACTCTTAACCTAAAAGGCGAAAAGCTCTAACTGGGAAGTGACACAACACTTAATAAGATATCTATTACTTCACAAACTAATTGCGTCTCTCTCTACCCATTGCTATCTTTTTTCACTCTTCTACACCTCAACACCCATTTTTTAAGTAATACTACTACTCCGTTGGAAATCTGAAAAATATTTTTCAAAAAATAATTTATTTTTATAAAATATTATTATTTTATAATGTTTGGTTGAATGTAGTAAAGTTATCTTTTCCTATTTTATTTTTTTATGTTTGGTTTATTTTTCTGAAATCAACATATTATTTGTTTATAATAATAATAATAATAATAATAATAATAATAATAATAATAATATGTAGGGG